CATCGGGCTCAAAATACAAACGTGCGATTGTCATTTACGGATATTGTGGATCATATTCAACCTATTTCGGAGCACGACGGGTATATTTCAAATTTCGTTGAAGCATTCCTTTAAACGGGCATTAAAGTGCTTATGAGATCTCCGTTTTATTGTTATAGCTCAAACTACGAGCTCTAAGCATAATAAAAAAAATTACATTCACGCATGGCCGACTTGCATATTAAAAGAGTGAGCAAAGATGGCGACACTTATCGCAGTCGCAGAACGACAGATGGAGCTACCGACCATTGCTGAATATGCCCGAACGACGAACGGCTCACGTCAGCCAGTCGCGAGCGATTGGTTCCCGCGTGGATGAGTGGGACTGGTCGGCCGCTCGTCCACGCGGGAACCCGTCGTTCAAGCTTATTCCAGCAAGGTTCGGTAGCGCCATCTGTCGTTCTGCGACAACGGTAAGTTTCGCAATTGTGGATCAATTTTTTAATATGCAAATCGGCCGCGCATGAATGTAATTTTGTATATTTTTTTAGAATGCTTAGAGTTCGTAAATTGAGTTATGACCATAAAAGAAGGATTTTAAAACGCACTTTAGTGCCCCTTTAAGCTAACCGCCTTGGAACGTGTTGCCTCCACGACTGCAGAACGGACAACGCGTTACTGCTTGTCATGCCTTGTGGTCATGAAGGTAGGAAAATATTATACCTTGACTCGAACATGCTGTGTGTATTTAATCACTTAATAAATACACTTCCGCAGACGTATACAGTCCGCTGATCCCGCCGGCAGTGCGGAAACCGACTCGAAGTAATCGTAAGCCTCGAGAGACTTGTACGCCTGCATCGTGTCGGCCGTGAACTGGCTTGGTGAAAAAACTAAACAAACGACGACATGTGCCGTCGACTTTGGTGGCAGCAACTTCACGTCGGAAGTCCAGCAGGCCTTCTTTGCGGCGTACGGATCCTCGAAGGCCACGTCGTCCACGCACAGTTTGTTTCGACAGCGCTGCCGTTCAGGCTCGGGTAGCGAGCTCAAATAGTCGGGCATAGCATACGACATACCTTGTCAAAAATACGACGCACAAATAAAGCTAGAAGCGTCTCTACGACCTCAACAACGAGCGCAGGCCACACAACGCAATGGCGAAAACACGGAGGGCCGGGCCGAATTTTGCCCCCATAGCTTCCGCGCATGCGCGGCCTTCTGGCCGTATTGGTAAACAGAGCCGCTCCGCGTGTCGGTCTATATGTCCTTATATATCTTGTATGATTCATATGTGTTTATTGAACACAGAGATTTCTGATACAAATGAGATTTTTCAATAGGGTTGCTTCAAGTTCATTAGGTAACGATGACTGCACATATTTTAATGATCTAAAACCGTAATAAGTACGGGGTGTCGAAACACTCTAGGTCTCGCCATGGCGAGTGACACACTTATGATTTAACTTAATTAAACATGACAGCGCAGAAATAAAAATAAATAAATATTGTTATGTTTCAATAGAGAGAACAAACATTTATTGAAAAAAACAGCGAAGTGTTCTTTTCAATAAATGCCTATTCTCTCTATTGAAACGTAACAAACATAACATGCACACAACATAAAGAAAAATTACAATTATATTTTTCTATGCAAAAAAAAATATGTTTTAGAGAAACATATAAAATTATTTACTAGGGCAAACAACTTTCTGCAAAACGTCGCAAAATATATCAAAATGTCCGTCTTCAAATGCAGCTTACGAATATATATAAAGAAATATTTGCCTGGTAATTATGGTGGTATTGTGATTAATACACCAACGCGTCATTTCTCTGAAAGTAGCAAAATTGCACGTTAATATAAAAAAAAAAAAAGAACTATTTTTTTCAAATTTTGTTTAACTTTTTGCTGTAGCTTGAACCGATTTGTGATGGCAAAATATTGAGTAGCATATGACCTCCAATAGACCATATGCGAAATGTAGAGCGCCATCTAGTGGCGCGCCGAGAAGTACGTCCGCCATCTTGGTAGCGGCGAGAAAAGGAAACCGGTGACCCGTCCGGCAAAGACCCAACGTAAACAAGCGACCGCGCTTCGTGCGTTGCTGCGTTCCGCCGAGGAATAAACCTCCGATTTCTTGCGTGACGTGAACGCAAAAAGGGTTTACCATTTTCTCTAATTTTTATTTGGTATCTTGACTTAAACAGCGCAAATAAGTTACGTAAGGAAGAGACAACAGGAAGGAAAGAGCGCTCTTTCCTTCCTGTTGTCTCTTCCTTACGTAACTTATTTGCGCTGTTTAAGTCAAGATGTCTATCCAACTCGCCCAGCAACTCATTTTATTTGGTACTTGAGACGCAGCTTTTGGCAAAAGCAATCGGAGACATGCGGACGTTATAATGCGGCGTGAAGCCATTTACAAATATTATGGTCACTCTATATATAGGGTGACCATACCATATTCCTCAAGATAGAAAACGGGACATCTCAGCGGGAAGGGGGGACACGTGCGTTTTTTCGCCATTTTCGGAAAATAGTATAGTGCTGCCAACCGAGATTCTACATATGTGCTATATCCAGTAACTCAAAAACATATTTCTACACACGTGTCTTAGAGAAAAAAAAAAAGCGTTTTTGGGCAAGAACAGTTCTAAATTTCACTCTCTGGGTAAATATTTTAAATTACCTACGGTTATTTTTGTAAAATATACTTGTAACGACAAGGCATAGTTCCGGTTTGCTTCAACTCGCTTGGTGCACATTTCGAAACTATGCACTCCTGCGAAAACGGGGCATGGTTTTTTATTGGGACAAAAAGGCGGGACGGCAGAAGCGGACCTCAAAACGGGACTATCCCAGCCAAAACGGGACTGTCCCAGCCAAAACGGGACGTCTGGTCACCCTACCTGGGCCCTAATCTTTTCGCAAAGTTGTACCAAATTTGTATCTGAACTATATTTTTTCTTTTATGCACGTTGTAGTGTCGGCCTGCGTTTTTTCTTGATGCGCAAGCAACTCAATGGATGAGACCGTTAAGCGAGGCAAAAAGATGAGAGTTTTAATAATCTACGGCACCAACCATAATTGAAGATGCGCACGGTTAAATAACGAACAACAAAAGCTGAAAGCACCACAGAACCCTCATTATAATGTCAAAAAATTAAAATAACTTCATTAATTTCGAAAGCCAGAGAACAACCTCATTGCTTTGCAGCGATTTCTATACACTTGATCTGGCGTCGGTAAACAAGGTTTGTAAAACACCTCTAAAACTAAAGAGGAGAGTTTTCTGATAAAATATTCTTGAATGTTTAAAGCACGGTCATGTTGAATAGAAAGCACAACAGACACGAACGACGCGTTTGTTTGTTCAACACTCACAGAGACGGGATTATGCTGCCTTTCTGTCGAACGCCACGTTCGATTACATCGAACGAGGCATTCGATTTAGGTACATCGCAGAGGCTAAAACTTCGACGTCAGCGACGACGAAAAGTTACGTTGTGGACGTTGAGTAGAGCAACATGGGAGGTGCCAACTTCATTTCACAACCTTCTTCTTTTTTTTTTTTTTTTTTTCGCAGTCTAGGTAAACATTTTGTTTAGTGCAGAGGAGCTTGGGGGGGGGGGGGGGGGGGGGGGTACTTTTGAGTAAGTCAACGAGTTATTAGTAGGGAAAAAAAATTGGGGTGTGTGTATGTTCATACAGCTTATAACGTAGTCTGCCTCAACGGGCGAGTTGTTTTTCAGCTGTAGATGAGAAATTTAGCCGGTGCAGAACAACCGCTAGCCAGGGGTCTTTAACGTGCACCATGCAATAGTGATACACGA